TTCAGAGTATTAATGGAGATTTGTGCGGAATATATTATAACATAAGACATTTTTATATTACGATTTTGTCCACAGCAACTATTGTTTTATAATATTAAATGGGTCACAGTTTCTGGTATGGGTCAAAAAACATGCTCTAGGGAACAAAAAACTTTAAATGCTTATTCTTCACTCCATGCATACATAAATCTTGTCTTTAAGTTTTCATTATGGGTTCTAAGATTGTGAGTCCACATTTGCATTTTATAGTTGCTATTCCTGTACTGGTGTCAATATAGTTTTTGTAAGTCAAAAACCAACACTCTCTTTTTTGAATTTGTATGTGCATTTGTATGTGAATCTGTATGCTTAATTTTCTTACATTTTTTCTTTTGCCTTTTCAGCCATGTCTTGATAAAAAATAATAAAGCCCCTCAAAACAATGTTTTTTTTCTTCAAAAATATTTGCTATGACCTTCTAAAAGGTACTTCATTTTATTATTAATATTTTTGACATGTATCTAGTTGTGGATGGTAAAAATATAAATTGAGTTTTATATTGAATATGCATCAAAATGCAAAAATTGAAAGTATGGTACGATTATTTTCATTGCAATTGGAAATTTTTTTTTTTACATTGTTAACATTCGTTAAGTAAGAGGCTCATATCTGCACTAGTTGTCTCTTTGGCTATAATGGGATTAGTATATTGGAAATAAATAAAACCAGATAAAATAAATAAATCTTTGAAGACATTTGGGTTTTCATCTCTACTTTTTACCCCTGCGGTCTTCAAGAGGTTTATTTAAAAAATCTGTTTCTTTCCTTGCTAAAATATTTGTTATTTTCCCATGAGGGATCTGCAGTGTGTCTTTGAAGTAAGCTTTGGCTCTCTTTTTTTCATTTCTGCCTGTACCAGATAGTTTATAGGATCAACTACTGGCCTTGCGGGTGTTATTTGGTGCAGTATACGTTCTGCGTTTTTTTTTTTTTTTTTTTCTTCATTAAAAATAATCTTTTACAATGTTTTTACAACATAAAAATATAACATTAAAGTATTAACCGGAGCTGGCAGAAGAAATGGTCTTATCATCCATCCGGTTATCTTTTACATACACAGAACCTGTTACAAAGGCATTTTTTAAGTCCTAGTTCATGTAAAAAAAATTTGAAAAATTTGATTACGGCAAGCAGCTGTTATTTTACTGCTACACTCTAGGTTGTTACCGCAATTTTTGTCAATATTTTTGATACAACTATTTTACCCTTTGTTGCAACAAATCTTTTCCCTGTTGACCTCTTCTTTTTCAGCATATTTCATTTTTTTAGTTGTGGATGGACCACCCTGTTTAAGACTATGTCTGTCTGTCTTCTTTTCTTTTTTCTCAATAGAAACTGGGTTTCTTTTCGTACTTCCTAGGAGAAGTTCTCATCCTCTCCTGCTTCTCCAAGAAGGTTAAAATTTGAATCTGCAATGAAAATATTAGTTGAAATTTCAATTCTAACAATAAAGGAATTTTTGACATAACAAACTTAATGACACTAGCTAATGTCTAATGTTAAAGTCTAATACTAATACAACTCGTTTCTCTGCGCAGCGGCCTTGTTCGTCAAGGTTCGTGTTTCGGAGTTATAGAGTTGAGAGAGGGTTATAGCCACAAAATAAGTAGCCTCCTCGTCTGTAGTGGCCTTCTTGGCCTTGAGGAGGTGAAGTATAATAAAAAAATAATAATAAAAAAAAAATACTAGGCCTAAGAACAATACAAACAATCGGTATTAGGCTATAACACCAGGGACTAAAAATTCCCTTGCGTAGACCAATTTGTTTAAAATCGATTTGCACATACCACCAAATTCTGTTAATACAGATTTAAGCTTTGCATTTTCTTCAACATATTGATTCCCAATACTCGAATCTTCAATAAAAAAAGTGCGTGTCAGTTTTTTGAAAAACTAGAAGAGTAAAATCTGTTTTAACAGCACTAAAAAATAGAAATTGTATTGTTGTATGAAAAGTATATTTTGATACTGCAATAGTTATATACATACCTTCACTAATAACATTGTTGTTATCTGCGTCTGAATCATCACAATCACTTTTCATAGAAGAGTCTTCCAAATCTGAGTTGTTCATTTTAGCCATGTTGATTGTGGGATAGACAACTTTTCCACAAATCAAATTTTATTTTTCTGTAAAAGTAAATGTGATAATAGGTTGCAGCATTGTATGAATTGGTTTTGGTGTTCGGTATTTTTTCTAGAACAAACTACAAACTCATTTAAATCACGACTAATATAATATCATAAGAACAATCAACACTAATAATTATAATAATAAATGGATTTTATTTATATTTTGTCTGTATAGTTAAAGATAAAAGCTATTTTAGAAATCCTATTCTCTTGTTGGGGAAATTCTTCCCTTCCTTCAGTTAGTTAGAACTCAATAGGTCCCTTATTTAAAAGACCTCTTCTTATTACATCTGAAGACAAAATCCCATCCCCTTCCATCAAATTAGATTTAATAAAAAAATATCGATTAATCCATTTGTTAAGACCCCTATCCGATTTATATCCGAACTTATATTTGGATTGAATTTCTTATTTGTTGCTGAAATTAACAACACTCACTCTGCCATCCATGACAAACTTGAATAAAGTTTTGTTTTACTTTTCCTATATTATCAAAATTAATATTATCATTGGAATCTGTGCTGATTTATTAGCCCTCGACTTCATTGATGGCAGTTTTTCATTTTTTAATAACATCCGAAATAAAATTGCTATGTATTTAGTTTATCATTACCTCATTTTTTTTAGCTTTAAATCTTTTGAATTTCGATTGTATTATTTAAACGTGTCTAACAGTCTTTTATTATATTACTATTTATAGCCAATACTTGCAAAAATTTTGTAATAAATACCATGTGTCAAGTAAAATCTTTGTCTGTTAAAAGATATTTTGTAGCAGTATCATTAAAATATGGTAATTTTATTGAACATTTTTAAAAATGTTGTCAGTTGAGTGTTAGCTTTAATTCTTTTAGTTTTAACTGTAAAAAATAGTTTCATGAAATATTTAACTTTAAAATCTTATCAGTAATTGTCAATATAGAAATTATGATGACATTAAAATTGTATTTAAAAGGTACCACTAAAGTTATTCCTACTTTTATAAGGATCTTCCCCCTCATTCCTAGAAGCGCCCCTGATTAAATTCTTTCTTTCTTGTTATTGTATTTTTTAAATGAAATTGTCAGGTAAGTTAGTTTGGTAATTTTGTCTTTTGAAAATTTATTGCCCCCTAAAACAAATAATTTAACAATGCTTTTTGCATTTTTAATATTTAATTATTCGTCAAAAAATAAACATTACGTCACCGAACTTTACGCAATGTAACCACCATAGTCATAAAAAGTTCTTCTTATTATATACATATGTAAACATAGTCATAAAAAGTTCATTCTTATGACTATGATGCAACCATGTTTCTACCTAATCAAAAAAATGATATTAATATATTTGCAGCTGACGCATGCGCATAAAATCCCAAGTTTTGATAAATATTGAATCACCGTGATGCAATCCATTCTGGTCATTGAGAAAATTTACAACTTCTTGTCTACTTTTTAAAACTTTTGTTTTATATTTCAAGATAATATCTTCACGGTTTTTTTTAATTTTCTTCAAATACATCCTCTTCTTTTAAAAACCATATTTTTGTCTAAATAGTTTTTTTGTTTGTTTAAATTCTTTCTATTCTTTTTTAACTCAAAAATCTTGTCTCTAAATATCAAATCAAAAGTAAAGGAATTCATCAAAGATATTGTAACTAAAAACATTTATAAATTTATATTTTTATCATGAAAATATATTACTATATTATCAAGTAGATTTAAATTTGGACTGAATTGTAAATTTATAATTATTTTACTATAATATAGTAAATATCTGGTATGTTAATCATTATTTCCTTCACTTGATAAAGGACGCCTGGTAAATTTTTTTTACCACGAGACAACTCCTATTTTAACACATTAAGCAGTAAAAAAATAGATGAAACTATATTAATTGTAGAAATGTTTGGAAAACTAACACATAGCATAGCCTATGTAATACAGTTTTCTTGATTTATTAAGAAAACTGTTTTACCGAAGTCATGATATTTGTTAATTCAATTAAAACACATAACACCTATAATATAACCCATATATGGTTATAAGCAATTGTATTTCAGGTTATTATTTATCATATATAATTTCAATTCACAATGAGATATTTTTTACAACTCTTTCTTGACATTATTTTTATTTACACAATTAAAAAAAAAAACTTAAAAATTTCACAAAATTTTTTTTGACTTCTTTCACCCCGCCCCTCTTCCTTCCAAAAATACACATCATGACTTCAAATGGGTAGGATTCCTACCCATTTAGAAGGACAGACATTTGGCTTATAGTATAAATGTTCAATATATTCTTGATTTTTGCATACAAACTCTACTAAATTGGTAGGCTCTCGTCAAACCCTTATTCCGACGCTGTCCTTAGGGTCCGAAAATAAAAAAAAACGACTCTTCATTTAAAAAAGAACCTGCCTACCCCAAACCCTCAGTCGTTGTTTACACACTCCGCTGCACAACTAAATTTATATATGACATGTTATAGTATTTTTGAAATTGTTATTTTAGACATATGCCATGCGGTATCACACTCATTTAAAAACATTTGCAAATTATTACATTTTTTTTGACGTACTTATATAAATGGTAGTTTACCATTACTTTTTTTAAAACCATAATGAACAAATTAAATAAAATAATTAAAAAAAAAAGGTTTTAACTTTGTTTCAGATATGCGTCAATGCATGTGAGAAGTATGCAACCTTACAAGCACCGGATAGGGTAATTTTTGTTTAATTTTATTTTTATCAAATATAAATATTTTCTTGCGCATTAAAGTTCTACCTTTATCAGAAAAATTAGGTTTTAACTTTATATTACGTAAGTAATATTGATTAAC